GGCAGGTCTGGCAGCGGCGAGCGTGAGGTGGGGAGGAGGTGTGACGCGCAGCGTGTGTGGAGCCGTGAACAGGGCCAACCAATCAGAAGCCGATTACTCGATTATTGAAAAAGTTGACAACTTTTTCAATAATCGATTTATAATCGATTATGTCGATTAGTTGTTGCAGCCCTAGGGAGGACGCTAGTTTGTGTCCTCCCGTTACCCTAAGGAGAACTATGGGGAAAAGCCCTAACCACATAGTTCTCCTTTTAAGCCAGCTTGACGAGCACCAAATGCACAAAAGGTTCTGCCTAGCAAGTCCAAAGTACATTCTCTTCATGCAGCAGAACTCTTATTTCTTCAAATCCTGGCAGTCACTGTGACGGACCCCCGTACTCAGGATGAGTATGTCCGCCGCTGTCTTCTTCCTTGCTGAGGAGATCTTGCAACCTGAAGATCCTTAGCTCCCTGTTTCCCCAGTCACTAGCCAAGGCTTGAGTGTAGGGTAAACAAACTCTGATTTATTGAGAAACTGCACAAACTTTTATACAGAAAGTGATGAAATCAGAATATAATCCCATCACATCCCCCTTCCCCTCCCCAGAAATCCTGTCTTCACAACACCACAGGTGTCCACCTGCTAACGAACTCCAGACAGCCATAGCAGGAGCTTGGCCAGAATGTCATTGTTCTGAGCTCCTTCAGAGTACAATGGGAGATAACTAGGGATGGTGCTGATAGTCTTTCCATAACCAGGTCACACAGCATAACGCACTCAAACATAACTCAACACCAATAAACATTTAACTTATAAACTGGTCACCGTGTCGTCAGTCACCATGAAGCAAATGCAATATTTCGGGGCCATGCTGGGTCCCGTCATCAAAGTGACCATACACCTAATCAAACAGTGACCTATTTCTGAGGCCCCAGTTATAAAGCAGTTGGACCTCACCTTGACCATGGACATACATTGAGGGCCAATTTTCTTCTTTTTTTTTTTTGCCATCTGTACCGTATCATATATCCATATGTACCCCATTGGCGGATAATTCTGTTTGCTTCCTGTCGGATAACCACAACAGTAGTGAGAAGAAATCCCTGGTGGTCACACCAGAAGTAGTGGTCCCCATTGGAAGATTCCCCATCTATTCTTGTTACATCTATTCAACCCCAAAAAT